ATTCGAGGTAAAGAGTGCATGTGGATAACCCCAATGTCTTCTGTTTCGGCCAATGGATAAGAACCAAACTAGAAAGTCAGCCTTATCAAAGTAATGTTATGATGCTTTAATAAATATTGATATTCAATAACTATTTTAATCACAATAATTCATGCTCCTTGATGTTATCATTTGGAAAAGAATTTGAGTTTGTGTAGACATATAAATATTGTGGCAGAATATTATTATTATTATTATTATTATTTAAACAAGGAATGGTTACGTTAATTATATGGGTAAATGCGGTGGGGGGGAGGGAGATTAACTGATCAGATTTTTACTTTCCACTGAAGTATTTCCTTCAGACATAAATTTGCCTGTATTGTTTGGTGCTGCTGGCCTGGAAGAAAGATTTGGCAGTGCTTGTTTGGACAGATGACTTCAAGTGATTAGCAACCTGACATCAGATGCTGGCAGCAGGATACTAAAAGAACATGCTAATGTCCTCCATTTTGACACGCTGGCTCGATTTTGTAATGAGCTGGCACTATTTATGATTCCATTTTTATCTTCTAAATGCCATGACAGATGGTAGGTCCTACAGCCAACTCTGTTGCCATCAAACTGCAGAAAGCATGAAATGTTGGTAATGGTGAAATCCAACCATGCAACATGTCTTCCTAGCTGTGCCTGAGAGTTGTCCCCTAAATTTCATCAGAGTGAGGAGAATATTGGCTGGTCTCCATTCCTAAGGAAACTATGAAGCAGCCATAAACCAGAAATAAACAACCAAAATCTCCTAAAGTACTGGAAAAAAGGATGTTTTGGACACAGGCAGTTTCATCACCTGTGAAATCAAGTGTGCACAACATTTGCATTGTAAATTTCAGTCTGATGTATATAACAAGGAGGTTTGCTCCTAGCTGGTATTCTGTAGAAGACTGGATGAATCTTCAGTTTCATGAACAGAATTATCTAAGTCTTTCACTTAAATATTGTTTGAGACACCATGTAAATGATTTTACAGGCAATCAAAGAACCATAGAAAACTCACGTCCACTGCAATCTTCCAGACTTTTTGAGAGATGATTAAGATCTTGACTGAACAAGTTTTGCCTTTTTTTTTTTCTCCCTTAGCATAGTATTTATCATCATTATTCTTGTTCTGTATTTGATTTCAGCTAGGTCACTAATAGCACAACCCTTTTACCATTGGCACAATAGCATTAGGTCAGTGCAGACAGATGTCTCTAGGCTCCCAGCTGGGAATACCATCCTCAGTAAACATATTTCTAACTGTTATATAGTCCCTGGTCTGCCTGTGCTCATTCCCATCTGTTTCATGGCATACTGCCAGCTTACAAGTTGATCAAGCCCTAATCATCCAGCATTGGTGAAGGCAGTGAGGAGTTTTAGATGGAGTCTGTGTGACACAGTAAGCTACTCCATGGCCTACTGAAGGTCACTTACATTCAAGGCACAAAACAATAGGCCAGGTTCTGACCCTGTAATTATTTAAATACTTCTTTGAGGTCTGTAGTCAAGAGAGCTAGAGGAGGCAGATAATCTATATGTCAGTAAGTCCTCATTTCACTTACATATGGTAGAAGCATGCTAGGTTGAAAGCAGCCAGCTAGGCTGGCCCTCATGTTGTCTGAAACAACTGTCCTGCGATACTGTCCCATACAAGATCAAGTGCATAAGTGTAACTGTACATGCATTCAAAGCGCTGGGCATGGAAGGGTGGGGGGAAAAGGAACGTCAGGGAATGTGCATAGTCCACCACAAGCTAATTGCTTTTCAAAGCAGACTCTGATCCAGCTCAGGCAGAACAAATCTGGGTGAAAACCACCCTCCAAGATTCTTTTGCATATGCTATGCAGCAAAACCATAGAAACTTCTGTGGAAAGAAAGGTAACTCTTATGTACTATACGGTGATGGGACACAAAGGACTGTGAGACATTTTCAAAGCAACTTTTAGTTTCGTATACCTTCAAGAGTTTTTTTTACAGGAATGATAATGTGGAATATAATTGCTTTCAGAAAAAAAAAATACTTAAAGTAATAATCTTGACAATGAAAGCTAGGATTAATTTTGAAGGGTAAAAGATTGGTTTTCTCTTTATTTTTATCCACAACTAAATTCAATAATAAATTTCTGCAGAACATGCTATCACTTGTACAGCAAATGCCCATACTCAGCTGGTAGGCTTCCAATAGATTTTCTCTCCAGCCTAGGGCACCTTTATCTTTCTGTTGTCTAGGAAAGGAAAATTAACTGTAGAGTATAATCAAATCTTCAGTATAACTAAAAAAATATTACTGCTTCAGAGACAACTATAAGAAACCATGCTGCTGTTAACAGAAATTCCCAGCATGGAATAGGAACTTTGCAGAATGGATCCTTTAATAAACACACAGTATGGACATCTCTATTTTTTAAATTACCCTAGCAACTTGTATAATTCTGCCCAATATCTCCCAAAGAATCGTAGTATGTCAGTGAAACCTTACTTGAGTTTTGTAAAGAAACATAAATCAGTTCCTCTGAATATACAGAAATTTACAGATACGGTTATTACCTAAACAAACCCACAAAGTGAGCTGAGGATGGATCTTTTTCCAGCTTGCTTTTTTAGGTAGTTTTGGGACTATTGGGTACAAAAGCCTTGTAAAAGTGAACAGAAAAAACCCAACATTGTCCAGGCAGACCATGTACTTTACACACCTCTTTCTGTAAGTTGAGACAAAGCCAGAACTTTCACTGGCAGTTGCTACTGCCAGGTAACCAAGTGAAGATACACTTAAGGATGTGTACAAATGTGTATGTATGCCAGAGGGTGCAATAAGCCCCCCCCAGCCAGTCCACAATTTTAGATCTGCTCCATCTGTATCTGAGCTAGAAGGTTAGATCAGCTCTGTTATAACTGCTGAGCCTGATGGGTACTTCCTCAAAGCCATTCCTCTGGCATCTACTCAGATTCCTGCAGATGAATCGTAACTCTTGTTGTATACCTGGCCATCTGCCTTCATGCTATTAAGTTATACATCCACCTCACTCATAGTCTGGGTTTGAGCTCAAACCAGCTCTACTACTTTTGCAGTATCAACACAGGCAAGTCCTGTAGTAAAGGTGTGTATTATCATTTCATTTCAGTACATGGTGAATCAAGAACACATGCTGAAGACTACCTTGCCTCTCTTTGCCAGATTCATCATCAGCAATGGACTGAGGACTAAGCATGGGACATTCATGATCTCCTTGGAGGCAGTCGACCAGGCTTTGCCCACACTATCTAGGAACATGGGGTTAAGATTAGTGGAAGGTGCTATAGCACTCCTTTCTCCTGATGTCCTGCAGCTTTCAGACCCAGACACCGCCAAAGAAAACCTTACCTTCCTCTTGGCTCAGCTTCCCCAACACGGTCATCTCTATTACCGAGGGGCGGTGCTACTGCAGTACAATTTCACCCAGCAAGATGTGGACAACAGGGATGTTGCATACAAGCACCGAGGTGGGGATTCCCAGATTGACAGATTTACATTTGTTGCAACAGACAGGACTAATCAAGGATTCATCGTGAATGGGAGGGTGCAGAACGAGCCAGTGGCATTCACCATTCAGGCAAGTGTGACCACAGGCTACTTAAAAGAGGTATATAGCATGATAAGGTGGAAAATGTAGTAATTTTGATGACAACTGGTACTTGCTGCAGTCTATGATTTAACTGAGGTATTTACCAGCTAAAATGTTCACTTTCTGTGTTCTGTGAATAATTAATCTGGAGAATTAACTACTTGCCACAACGCATTACTCAGGCCAAGAATTTTATAGAGTGCAAAGAGAAGACAGACATCCTGCTTTCTTATATGAATATAAGCAAGTATATAGCTATATACTTAATACTTGCTAAAATATTTTACATGGAAATCTCAACCCTAAAGTTGAGCCCAGCTGTGGGGAGGAATTAACTTCCTCCTGCTCTGCTTTCCCACTTGGTACCTGACCCACTGATTTGCATGTGAGAGATACCAGGATGACTGCTGATTTTCATGTCAAAGAAATCTTGAATTACAGCCACTTCACTCCCACAACTGGATAGCCTGTCTTCCTTCTGGGAGCCTTTGTTGCATGCCTGCTCTGATTCTTCCTTCCTTTACTAGGATCCTTCTGTTCACTTCCCATTTCTCTCATTTTCAGTTTCTTCCCACTGTATCACAGGCTCAGGTGCCTTTGCTATGACTTCTTGTACATATCTCTCAGTATAAAAGCAGGCCTGGTTGCATTGCATGTCGAACTTCTGTATGTTTCAAAACACTGATACTAACGAAGAGGATCCTAACTTTTTCTGATGACAAAGCCTGAAGTTATATGATGAGTGAGGAGTGCTATTTCAGCAGAAGCTGAGATATGGAAACAGCAACAACAGTTGTGGAGTGTTAGAAGAATCATCAGAAGTGGTGAAAGGTGGCACAGATTTGCAGTGACATATTGGCCAGGTCTATGACTGTGATTATCATAATCCTTAGGTTTTCATGCTTGCTATTGTAAAACAGATTTGAGAAATCTTTGCTGGAGTTTTCATTTGCTATGATAAAAACCTTACATCAAAAAGGAGGAGTATGGGGAGTGTGGGACACCAGGGCAGAGGTACACAGAATCCGTGTTCCCCTCCCCGGTGTGTTGTATCCCACTGCATGCAGGAAGCGACTGGGCAATCAGGGCCTGGAAACCTCTCATGGGAAGTAATACTTAACTGGAGATCAACCATCTCCTGGAGTAGACTACGAATCAAAGCGGCTATTGCCATCCTGGGCAGGCAACTATGCTTTTAGCAAAAGTAGGATAGAGAATATCCTGATGCTGCAAAAGGAATATACCTTTGTCTAACTTTGTTTTAGGTGGATCATTTGGACAACATGGCACCAAAAATTATTCATCTCCATTGCTTTTCTGATGTGGAACTGCTGAAGAATGGTAATTACGGGATCTATATTACTGCCAGGTCCCTGAAGGCATCTGACCCCAATACAGAAGATGACAACATAATTTTCAAGATTTTACGAGGCCCTCATTATGGCTACCTGGAAAATATAACAACAGGTGCTGTCTTCTATAATCTCTGCATTTTGGGATGTACCAGACCAGATTCCAAAACCTACCCTGTTAATGTTTGCTTGATAGAGGAAATCAAAATTTCTCAGCAATCTTTGGGCAAGGTTTGAATGTAGTAAGAAAACTTCTACACTAAATCCTGAGTCTTATGCTCATCATGAATCCTCAAAGAGTTGAGATGGTTGTTAATAGCTGCCATTGAGAAACTATATTTGCTTGTGTCAAGAAAAAAAAGTAAATTAATATTGAACTTGGCCATTTGATAAACATGTCATGTGGTCAGAAATTGGCTGGGGCTTATAACGAGCTGGGATGTTGCTGTTTAGCTATAAAACCAGGTTTCTGTAAAATCAAATTTTCTACATGTTGAACGCAAAGAAAAGTTGAAAACAGTCTATATGAGCTATGTGGTTCTTATTAACAAGCTTTTGATTCACCTGAATGTTTCTCTTCTTTCCCAGGTGGATTTATTTGGGAAGGGTTTAGCCAAAAGGATTTAAACAGCAAAATCATACTTTATGTCATCAATCCTTCGCAGGAAGTGAATTCAGACAACATAGAGTTTCAGGTCACAGATGCCAGTGGAAACTCAGCGGTGCCCCAAAGGTATCTCTCACCCTCAGTGGTGTGTGCCACGGTGCACTGTGTGCGCTGCTCCCCGGGGCAAACGAACCCGTGCTGGGCTTGAAGCTGTGCAGGCGTGAACATCGCTATGACCCAAACTGCCATTTCTTTTCTTGAACAGTAGAGAAGGTTTCTTCCCCTCAGGGAGACACAATACAAAGGGCTAGCTCCAGGTTAGACTGGAGCACAGTTCTGAAGGGCCTTCAGGGCCTCACAGAAAAACATAATGGAGTTTCCTCCAAGTGGCAGTTGGGCATTTGGAGATCTGAGATACTGGGTGCTGAGGGACGGGACTGCGGATTCATGTACATGGCCCTGCAGCTGGAGGTCACTCTTGCCCTGTGTCGATGGCAATGCTTTTTTCACAAGCTTGAGATGACAATGGAGGAGATGCCCTCAAACAGTAAAAGCTATGAGAGCCATACTTCTGCAGAAGAGCATTGAAAGAAGGTGGAGGGCACACAGCATCTTCTTTGTCATCCACTGTCAAAATTTCCTTGTGGCATATGATAAACCTAATGTACAAAATTTAGAGACTGGGCTATCATCTGAACTGTGCTTTGATGATGAAGGCCAAAAGCAGGAACAGCTCTACAGCAGGGGCAACATTTCTCTTTTTAGCTCTATTTATTTCCCCTTCTCTTTAGCCCTATTTCTGAAAATAGGGCTAAATGTTCAACCAATTTATTTAATCACAAGTAGTCGAGAAAAATAACGCTACTTTCCTGGGATAAACTAGCTACTCACAAACGAGGACCCATGGTGAGGGAAAAGGGGCAGAGGAGTGCTCTGGAGAGAGGATGGGGACGGAGCAGAACTGGAGACATCGTTTCGGCAGTTACGCGCTGTGCCAAAAGATGTCCCCACACGCAAACGCATCTGAACGCAGCCAGCCTGAGCGCTTCCCCAGCTGCGCTGTGCGGGCTCGCAGCTGTGCTGAGAGTAAAATCACCATGAAAACGCTGCCTCTCCTCGTGGGAAAGA